TTTTCTGTATTTTCCTAAATTCTACGTAGCCTGAAAAAAGAAAACAAATGCAGCCACCACATCTAAGGACTGGTGACCTGTAATATAATAAGTTTGTGTTCTTTAAAATACCCTGTCATTATAATTCACACTTCAATCTTGCATGAGTGGGGTATATATCAACATGGAATTATTTTGAGCAAAAAGTACCACTTTTCTTGCCAAGAAATATAAAAAAAAAAAAAAAGGGACAGCTGCTTCCATGCTCTGTCATGAAACCTAAAATCTAGACAACCTAGAATACTTGGTCTCTGGCTACCCAGAACACAGCCGTGTGAATAACCGGCCCAAAGTGAAGTGAGCCGAACACTGTTCGGCTATTCACTTCAGGCTTGCACAGCTGATTTCAGCCATACATCGGCTGGAATCAGCCGTACATCGGCTTGCTTTGCCTGGCTTGTTTGGCCGGCTCAAACTGCAGAAGGAGTTCGACTCAGCCGATCCAACACCTGGATCGGCTGAGCCGAACCTCCGGCAGGTTACTTGCTGCCGTTCTCATAGGGGCTGAACGGCAGTTCGGCTCGGCTACTCTGCTCGGTACCTCCGTGGTACCGAGCTGAATAGAAAAACAGTGGGAAAAAAAGTAGAAAACGTTTGGGCAGAGCTAGCAGTGACAGCTAGCTCTAACCAACTGTTTCCTATTGGTCAGGACCTGCTGTCTATACAATGGGAGCTCAGCCAAGTTCTCATTATAAATGACGGTTCAGCAATGACGCTGAACTGTCATTGCAACTGGCCGGAGCCAGCCCTGAGATCACGGCTGGCTCCGCCCAGCTATCAGTTGCGAGGCTTTAGGCTGACCCACTTCGGGTTTCACTTCAACTCAGTCGAGCTGAAGCATATGCCTTCAGCTCGACTGAGCCGCTCGGCCAGCTTAAGGAGCTGTGCGGGCGATAGTGAATAGCCTGTACAGTAGCCCTTCGGTTCTACTGAACCTAAGGGCTCAGGCGGCCAAGGCTAGCTGAAGGATCAGCCGGAGCTACAGCTGATCCTGCAGCTAGCTTTGTGAATAACCCTATAAGTGTCAGCCGTAAATGCCAGTTTTCTACCATTACTTTTAGAAAATAAGCCGTGAAAAAAAGAATGCTCACCATAACCTTTTTTGCACTAGCAGCTTTAATATTACCAACTGCCTTTAGATCGATGCTCTTCAAATAGCCCTCCTACTAATAATCCATAAAGCATATGTAAACCCAAAAACAGAAATGTTATACACTGCCTGGCCCCCAAAAAAGTCGCACAATCTAATATTTTGTTGGACCACATTTAGCTTTGATTATGGGACATATTTGCTATGACATCGATCCGATAAGCTTACACAATGCCACATGTATTTCCGTCCAGAACTGCATTACATTTTCACCAAGATCTTGTGCTGGGAGATTCGGACCACTGCGTAAAGTCTTCACCAGCACATCCCAAAAGATTCTCAATGGGGTTAAGCTCTGGACTCTATGGTGGCCAATCCACATGTGAAAATGATGTCCTGTGCTCCCTGAACCACCCGATGAATCCTGACATTGTCATCTTGAAATATGTCCATGCCACCATGGAAGAAAAAAATCCATTGATGCAAAAACCTGGTCATTCAGTGTATTCAGGTAGGCAGCTGACCTCACTCTTTGAGGACATAACATTGCTGAACCTAGACCTGACCAACTGAAGGAACCCAAGATCAAAACTGGAAACCTAGTTGGTGACTTCTTTTTTGGCGAGGCAGTGTATATTGCAACTTATCAGTCCCTTAGATAAGGTGGTTGCCTTTGTTCAATCGCTATTACTTAGATGGGAAGGGCCCTCCTTCCCCTCTATGCAATGGGGGGGGAGGGGGGGTGATGTGATGGGGGCATTTTTTATGCTTCTAATTCATCTCAAAAGAAATGAGAAGAGTATTACATTTCTGCCACAATTAGTAGGTACTACTTGTATTTGCTATAAATGTTTTTCGTTTAGAGAATGGAGAACTAATGCAGCCACCACAGTGGCAGGACCAGTAAGTTGGATTTGTTTTTACATTTTTTGTTTAATTATGTTTTACTTTAGATTTAATAGAATTTTAGAAAAAACAAATAACTAAAAATACACTTTCAAGAGTGGGTTTAAAAAATGAATAAATAAAGAATCAGAATGAAATAGGATTTTCATATCTGGATGCTCAAATACAATAATGCTTAATAAAGTACATTCCTTCCCAAATGCAGCAAAATGTATGCAAACTTTATACACAAACATTTTAATTGCGTACATCTGAAATAATATGAGTTCCTTGACCTTTTTTCTAGAACTTCGTGAAGGGCGATTGTCAGACTTTCTTAGGAGAAAATTTGAGCAGTGCCACATGGATAAGAAAAAAAAAAAAAAAAGAAGTTTCTATAACTATATTTAAGCCTTCCTATTAAAAAAAAAAACAATTTACCATTTTTATGTAAAAAGATGTTAAATCAAACCACTTTATAATAACCAAGGTTTTTTTTATTTTATATTTTGTTTTTTATTATGGCATAAGCCGTGTACCTTTTGTTGGAATTCTTTTTTTTAAGCCAGAAAAATATACAAATTATATAGGGCTGCAAAATATGTACATTACATGTACAACATACAGAAGAAAAGAAAAACATAGATTTACATTTCTGGATGACAAGTAAAATATCTTACATTAAATAATTCAAATGAATAGTATGGATTGGTAATTTTTGCTCTGTCGGTAAAACAAATTATTCAAGAAAAAATAATCTTGCTGTCAAAAAAATATATAAAGTACTTTTTTCATAATAAAACCAAAATATTTTATTTCTGCAGTGCTAAACTTTAGCATTATGGTAGCTTCCTACATTTGCTGTGCATTTGTAATAAATTATTTTTTTCTTTGTTTCCTTTATTGTAAAGGGGGGGGGGGGGGAAGGTTACA